TTCGCGCGATGAAGCAATACAACGACGTGCCGTTGGATGGTATGACCACTGGGTGATGACCAGTTTTATAGTTTTCTTGTCATATAAACGGAAGCATGGACGCGTTGTCACTTGCCATGCCTCGGCTCAACCGCACCGCATAAGCGTCTCCGTGATCTCTGTGCTGCTGCTAATGCCGATGACGATGACGCGTTTTGGCTATCACTCATTGTCTTTCCCGACTTCTCGGTTGGTTATGCTTCATACATTCCCGCTTGCAGGACGTCAGATGAAAATCCAAATGGTCGGAGCTCGCAGCTCCATAGCGTCTAAAACCCCGACTACTGCCCTTGCTGGAACTAGGGGCGTGAGGTAAAGTTGTTTTTTGTTTTGATTTTTGCTATATACAATTCTCTAAAATACATATCTACCCTATTTTTAATTTATCCTCTTATGTTGCCAATCGGCATTTGGATGCTTCGCCATTAGACTGTCAAACTTTTGTCTAAGTTGTAGGTTTTTACATTATACTGCCCCCAGCTGCTGTTGTTTTGTTGAGTCGCCAGCCTAACTACAATTTGTATCGCGTGAATGTTTCCTTATTCACATACGCAAGGGGTTCATTTTATCTAGCTTCTCAGTCCCAGTCTTATATTCAAACATAGAAGAGGTAATAAAGTGATTCGTCATGTTTCCTTTACAGCTAATCGCGGATGCTTATTTCCATTCGGCCTTTCTGTCCACTTTTACTCGAAATGTCGTGCTGACCTCTTTTTCGCAGACTACCTTGGTAACCATAAAGAATTGAGCCAACATAGTTGATAAACGGTTTTACATTTCATAACTGGTCTTTATGGCTAAGGAAAATGGATTTTACTCTGTCGCGTATCCGACATTATGCAGAAATCCACCCATCGCACATACCGTACAAAAAAAGGACCCAAAGAATAACTTACCCCTGTCAGAAAATTTTTTTTGGAAGCGGTTAGTCGTCCTCGCAAAAGATAAGGGCAGCTGCACCGTAACTGTA